TGGAGTAAGGGAGGGGCCAAGTATTGCAAAACTTCATATTGGTTACTATGTTCACTATCTGGGTGTAGGATCAACAGAAGCCCAAACTTCAGTACCATGAAATATACCCTGGTAACAAATCTGCACATGTACCTCCTGAATCTAAAAATAAAAATTAAAAAAAGAATTTATGGCTTTGTGGGTTTTTCAATATTCTGTGGTATTTGATTTGCAAAAGAACATGTAAGGAGAACTACAGGGTAGGTTAAAACTCTTGCTGGACCTATATAAACAACCAGGCCAAACCTAACAAAACTAGTCAATTCTTTGTAATCAATAATAGTCGTTCTTTCTTATTATGATATGAATATAAGGTGGGAGGATTGTCAGAAAAATATTTGTGAATGGACTAATTGAAATGGGCAAAAACTACTCCTGGGTGGCCTGTTCTGCACACACATCAGGATATCTCTGATTTTCATTATCTTTGAGCTATTTTACAATTTTTAAGTAGTAGGTACTGACAGTGATGAAAATAATTCTTGTCCATATACAAACGATGCATTTTGACAGGTGGAGGTGCAATTGATTTTCATTTACCCTGAAGTAAATGAAGAAGCCATTTTGTTAACTTTATATTGAGCACAATAATTTCAGCATTCCTTTTTAGGTATGTATGCTTGCTTTTTGGATAATCTGTTGAACAGATATAACATCTTACATGTTCTCTCATTAATGAATTAAACTACGTATTTGACATGTGTTCATATTATATTTAAATGACAGTTGTGATTCTACCTTGTTAAAAATATAATGCTATGTGTGTGTGTATGTGAGAGAGAGATGTCAATTTGCCTTTTAAGCCTTTATTGCAGTTTTTCTACGTCCACTATGTAACAGGTGCTATTGAAGTAGATTTACAAGTCTTTTTAATTTTAAGAACAACTCCACACTGTAGGTTTTAATAAATTCATTTTATGTCTAAGGAAATAAACTTTCGAGATATTAAGTGGTGAAATTATAATTTAAACTTGACTTTTTTCCAATGCCTGTATCTTTAGCAAAAGGTTAATTTTTCAAAATATTTCATAAAAAGCCAAAATGCAACTGATAGATACTACTATTTACAACAATAAAATGAAATGTGGCATAATTGTTTGGATTATCAAATCAGGAATTAAGCTATAAGAAAACATTATTTCAGGCCAGGCGTGGTGGCTCACCCCTCTAATCCTAGCACTTTGCAAGGTCAAGGCAGGTGGATCATGAGGTCAAGAGTTCGAGACCATCCTGGCCAACATGGTGAAACCCCTTCTCTACTAAAAATACAAAATAAATTAGATAGGCGCGGTGGCATGTGCCTGTCTGTAGTCCCAGTTACTCAGGAGGCTGAGGCAGGAGAATTGCTTGAACCCGGGAGACAGAGGTTGCAGTGAGCCGAGATCGTGCCACTGCACTCCAGCCTGGCACCTGGCAACAGAGTGGGACTTTGTTTAAAAAAAAAAAAAAAAAAAAGAAAAAAGAAAAGAGAAAACATTATTTCAGGAAAATTCTCAGTGAGATGAAGGAAATTGGCGTCTAATGTGAACATTCTGTTGACAGTAAAAGATATAAATAACCGTGGAGAATTTGCCAGTATATCATTCACAGTATACTTCTATAAATTTGGCTGGCTTCCTAACTCCCAACCTTCCAGCAAGCCTGTTAACCTTAGGTGCTATTGTTTTGAACAACTTTCAGAATCATCTACTTTATCACCAAAAGCAAGGAATTGCTTTTTTTATGTTGTTTTCAGTTTTTTTTTTAATAGAAGGCTTGATGGAGCTGCTTTTTCTTACATACCTCAACAATATGACTTGTCTGTACTTAGATACGAGGTAGCATTTTGAATGTCCTGCTATAAAGTATTTCTCTCCATGTAAATTGCAATTCCTTTGCATTGTGTTTCCTTTTCCAAATTTTCTGTAGTCTATAATGTTTTCCATAATTATATTTGTGAGAACAGTAAAATATTATTCCCCCCTTTCTCAGAATTCTAGTTGGAAATGTCTGCTTTCTTTCAAATTTCACCAATTTTGGATTCCCCCTAAATTGGGAAGTCTGAAACAAAAACTTCACTTGTGCTTGTGACAGTACTAGATAGTTTATATATTAATTTATTATCTTATCCTTCATGATTAAGCTCTGGTAAGCCACAGAGAACCTGTCTTCCCTGTCCATTTCTATATGTCCAACAGTATTAGAGTAGCCACTTTGGTGAGTAATTGCATGGTCTTTAATCTTTTACTGAACCAGTGAGTACTTTATAAAGTTATATATATTGGTTGTACCCCTTCTGAGCACATAGCAAATTTCAGCTTTCTCCTTTCTTTCCATTTTCATGTTTATTTTTTTCTTTATCATTCTAGCACTTAGTATCAATGATATCCTAAACACACCCACTACACTCACCCAATTGGAGTGAGTAGATATTTCCACTCCTGATATCACCAGGATTAACTACTCTGCACATTCAACAGAGTTGTCTGACTCCTCTCATTGGATATTTATTTGGAAAAATGTGTTAATGCTCTCGCAATTCTTAGATATTCTGCTTCTTTCTCTGCCTCTAATGTGGTTTTCTTGTTTTTTGGTTTATTGCCTTACTCATTAACCCTATGTTTAATTCTTTTGTCAATGTTTATTTCATTCTCTACTGTCTCCTTTATATCACTCATACATCTAAGTGCTGGATTTTAAACTGATTATTTCAAATAGTCTCATCCTCTTTTTATCCCAGGCTTTCCATTGCATCACTATTTTTCTAACTTTATACATAAATGATTCCTCAAAATTAGCAAGCCAATTCTAATCTTAATAGCGTCTAACATTTGAACAATTCTTAATTCAGCATCATCCTGCCTTACTATCAATCTTCATTCAAAAGTGTCATGGGTAGAAAGCAACTCTATGGCTGCTTGGACTCACCTTCTCCTTGGTTCCCATGTGTTCCATACTACCATCAAATTCTGCTTATTCTTTCATAAATAAGCATCTTGGTTTCTTCTTCCCTTTCTGTTGAAACAGCTGCCACTTACACTGAAGCCTTCATAATATACATCAGGCTAATAGATAAAAACTGATCTTTACATTTCATATTCTTACCTTAATATAATAAAGCTATGCCTCGGAATTTCTTAAACTTTATTTTCTACCCATTTCTATCACATTACTTCTAGATTCTTAACTCTTTAACTTAGCTCTCCACTTTTCAATATCCATTTACAGATTCAGCTATTAAAATACATTAGAATTTCAATATGTTAAAATCTTTCAATATTTCTCACAATGGCTCCTTAGTTTATTGACTGTATTTTAAAATACACATGAATATATATTAATTGTATTTTACATGCTCTGTGATCATTATATTGCTCAGAGAAGTTTAATGTATTTTCTGTTTGCCATGTAGATAAGAGTTCTAGTTTTTGTTTTTGTTTTTTTTGTTTTTTTTTGAGACAGAGTCTCACTCTACGCCAGGCTGGAGTTCAGTGGCTCCATCCTGGCTCACTGCAACTTCCATTTACCGGTTTCAAGCAATTCTCCTGCCTCAGCCTCCCAAGTAGCTCGGACAACTGGCACATGCCACCACGCCATGCTAATTTTTTGTACTTTTAGTAGAGGCAGGGTTTCACCACGTGGGACAGGATGGTCTCAATCTCTTGACCTCGTGATCCGCCCGCCTCAGCCTCCCAAAGTGCTGGGATTACAGGCGTGAGACACCCGGCCAGGCCAAGAGTTCTAATTTTTAACATCAAACAATGCCATTAAATGGGGAACAGTTTTTCTTCAAAGATGTGATCTAATATTAAAACAATGTTTGAGTGAATTATTTTGGAATTTACCATTCACATTTGAATTCAACACGAGTAAAAAATCTCTTATCTTTTCTGACTAGCCCTGGAACTAAACACAGAGTTTTAATTCTATCCAGTATTGTAGATATGTGATTGGTAATATTTTTCTCCCTTCATTCATTCTGTTGTTTGTTTACTCACTCATTCGTCAACCATTTTATGAGCCTCAACTTTATATCAAACCCTTTTGAATGCACCTTTATATTTATATTTGTATATATGTGTACATATATATATACACACACACACACACACACCTATATACATATATAAATAGGATATCACTGTATTTTAAATGCGTACATCTAATTGGGGAAGAAAACATAAAATTAAAATGCAATGTGATAAATATAACAATTATGGTATGGCAAAAATGCTATGAAAGAACAATCTCTGAGATCTTTGAATGTTACAAGGGAAAAGAGAAGATTCAATTTCGTCTGGAAAGAGAGACAGCACCAAATCTTCTAGGCAGAGGCAAAAAGTCTTCCAGGCAAAGGCACAAAGTATTCACTTACGAAATGCAGGTGACTCTAGGAGAGCAGTGTGAAGTAAAGCATGAGGCAGTTTGGTGGTGATTTTAAATGAAATAATTGCTTTCCCCCACCTTTCTGCCTTTGTTTCTTCCAGTATTTCATATGAACTTTCCTTTGTCACCCCTACAGTTTGCAGAAGTCTTTTGAAAGAGTTTAGGACCAATACTAATCTAGTGCTTTGTTTTAATGAAATGAAAGTAGCTGTTAAAACTCAATTTGCAAGTGCCATGGTAACTGTGTAGTGGGATATATTTTCTTATTTTCTATAGACACAGCATCTGAGCTAGTCTGTCACAGTAGCCTCTATTTAATAAATGGAATAGTCATGAAGTAAATTAATGAATGTCTCAACATGTACATTTTTACGCCTTTATCTAGGCTTTCACATGGACAGCTCTAACTGGTTTGGCTCAGATTCACTTAGGTTCATACACTCAAGAACACATTTATCAGGCACCAGACAGTGAGGTTCTTTTCGACAGTCAATAGACTGCAGGAGAGAAGCCGAAGAGTGAAATTCTAATTATTCTCGACATAGGGCTTTCTAAGTGTGTCTCATGCCAAAATAATGAAAGTTATCTTTCTTCAGGAAATTGAAAGACGATACATGAAGTGTCTTCAGGTTTCCACGGAAATGGAATTAAATGAGAAACATGTGGCACTTTCTGATGGATACAGATCATCCTGAAATCACTTCACATCTGCTGGCTAAATAGAGAAATAACTATAAATCTTTTCAAAAACAAAGGAAAGAAAAATGTAGGAAATACATCAAGTAATACCTTTATGGCACCATTCCTATGACTCTATAAAGAGGGTTATTTATAATGGTGGAATTATTTGTCACACATCATATAAAAAAAGAAAATTAAAATTATCGATGGGTTATAATGGTAAACATGATCTTGTAAACTCTAAATATTTCACCTTACTAGATGTACACCTTAGTTTTCATTTTTAGCAACATTTTAAAAAGTAGAGATGTATGAATATTCAGCATGGTTTAATCTGAGATCATTTGAATATTTTTAAAACAATCCTTAGTAAAAATTTAAATAAGTTTATCTTGTCCTCATGTTTGTGTGTGTGCCTATAGGGCTATTCTGAAGTAATGTTAATGGTGAAAAATGTATGCTATGGAATAAATTCTTTATAACTGTAGACCTACTACTTCATGAAAAATGTGTATAAAGCACACAGAATTCAGACGTCTTCCTTCCAAAATTAGTCCCAGGTTCATGCTTCCCCCCATCATGCTCCATTTCCAATTACACACCATTGATTTATTCAAATGTAATTATGTAAGAATTTTTATTTTTAAACTTAACAAAAATACATTTTTCATCACTTCAGGAAATAATATATGTATTTATGAGAGTTAAAAAGACAATGTTTTATCGATATATAACTCGTTTCATGTTTCAAGTGTAAAGGCAAAGTGTATTATCACATATAAATATTTTCATGTGAAAATACAAAAATAAACTCTCATGCATATTCATATAAAATAAAACAAGAGTATGACCACAAAAATGACCTGTGTTGGCATTATTTTCATCATAATCTGCATTCTTGTTTCTCTTAACCCTTAGAAAAGAACTATCAATGTTTTTTTGTTTTTTTTTTGAGATGGAGTTTCGCTTTTGTTACCCAGGCTGGAGTGCAATGGTGTGATCTCAGCTCACCGCAACCTCCGCCTCCTGGGTTCAGGCAATTCTCCTGCCTCAGCCTCCTGAGTAGCTGGGATTACAGGCATGCGCCACCATGCCCAGCTAATTTTTTGTATTTTTAGTAGAGACGGGTTTCACCATGTTGACCAGGATGGTCTCGATCTCTTGACATTGTGATCCACCCGCCTCGGCCTCCCAAAGTGCTGGGATTACAGGCGGGAGCCACCGCACCTGGCCTACTATCAATGTTTTAATAAGATTAAAAAGATTAAGTTAGAAAGGAAAGTGTAAAAGTGCTTATTTTATTCCACTCAAACTCCATCCACCACAGACCTGGGAGGTGGTCATGCCTATGAGGGCAGAAGGGCTGTGAGAGTTTTCATCTAGCAGCCTAGTCTGGTAAACTGAAATACAAATTCAACTCTTTGCTCTCTCCTTCAGGTCTTCACATACTTCCCCAATAGTATCAGCTGCAAAAAATGAAGGCTTTGAATCAGACTGAGACATAAGCAAGGACTGCACTCTGAGTTAGGCACCTGTCAAAAATAATGTGATTCCTCATTAGAGAACATGTACAGGTACATACAAAGTTTTATTTTATTATTTGATTTGATCATTAAAGTACCGTTCTATCGGCCGCACTTTTTTCCATGCTAGAGACTAACCTCTATTAAATACTAGGATCTCAATTCTGGCCTGCTATGAATTTTCAACCAAAGAATAGAAAGCCATTTCGATAAAGTGCTATGCAAGATAATAAAATTTAATGATATAATTTAAGCGTTATAATTTTTTGAAAGGACATAAGAGGTCAGAGTTAAACGTCCTCATTTTCAGATGCAGAGGCAGTTGAACAATAAGTTTTAATGGCTTGTTCAAGGTAATTTTTAGCTTTTATTGGATGTAAATTGCATGTTTTATTTAGGTTCAAAACTCTTATATGTCTAAGGGTGCTTCTCAAAAATTTTTCACTACGATATAAGATTATGCCTATATTGAGTGGGGAATATATAACAGGAAGGTCATTCTACCCACACAAAGAAATAAGAGAGTGGTAATTAGGAGATGTAACTGAAAGATGAATCTAGTTCAGAAATCCCCCATCCCTCCTCACAGTTCAGAATAAAGGAAACTTCTGTGAGAATTATTGTTCTAAACTGGGGTTTTAAATGTGACATGTTAATTTGCAACAAAGAAATTATTGGACCTAAACTATCCTTCCTGCGTTTAGAGTGCTGTAAAAAAGAGAGAGGAGAAAGAGAGAGAGAGAAAGAGAAAGGGAAAGGAAGAGAGAGAAAGGGAGGGAAATAGCTTGTAAATGAAGGGGCAGATAGAGACAGAAGTTACAATTGCAAGCTGACTAGATATGTCTTCTATGTAATGCAGCTGGCACTCCTGTATCAACTTCCTCCTTCCTGCCTCATTCAACACTGCACAGATTCACAACCTGTCCATTTTATAGTAAGGAGAGAAATGGAGGACATTTAATTTTTTTGTTAATTCTTGATGACCGTTTTAGGAATCAGCTTAATTACTCTGATGGGAAAAATAAAAGATTTTAAAACAAGCATGAGAAGTTCACAGAAAGATGTAATTAAAAAAAAAACATCTCATAGTAGAGTGGTATGCATGGAAGCATTTCTTACCATTTTTCATATTTAAATCTGGCCTCTTGTTTTAGAATTATGACAAGTTAAGTCACAGTGGCGGTGGAAGAGAGGTCATTTTATCAGGCATGAGTAGGATGGAAATTCCGTCCCACCACCCACATCCACAAAGTAGTGGCCTAAATATATTTGAGTTTGAACAGAAGGGTAAATAGGCTAGAACAGAGAAATAAACTATTATGGTCACTCTAATTCAATTAATCTCAATACTTCTTTGCCATCTTGCCTCATTGTCCACTTTTCTACATATTGTCTAGTTGTGTTCTTTGATTTTTTTTTAATTGCCAAATTTATTCTCTGACCTGTGGTCAAATCTTTTTTTGAGTTGTTGGAAGCTCTCTGAGTTTGGAGGAGAATACGTAATCAGAGAGCCACATTTATGAAACTTTGAATGATGTGTCTGAGCATCACAGATTTTTGGCAGCATATGGATATTGATTAGGTTTTAACATTCTATTTTATTCCCTTTCCTCAGGATTTTGTTTACAATCTGCCAGAGAAGAGAAGTTAAAATATTTTACTGCAGAATTTCAATATGTAGAAAGGTCACTATTGCATAGCTCCTCCTTAGGTAAAGATAGGGGCTTAAAGAAGAAAGAACATTAACTTTATGTATGGCTACAACTAAGAATATAAATATATTTAGTATGATATATTAGGTGCTTCCAACGCAAGCTGAAAAGGTTTATATTCATAAACCATATGACATTTTGGTCAATAGCAGATTGCATATATGAAGGTGGTCCCATAAGATTATAATACAATGGTGGTCTCATAAAATTATAATGCCATGTTTTTACTGTACTTTTTGTATTTAGATCCACACTTACCATTATGTGACCATTGTCTACAATATTCAGTAGTAATATACTACAGAGGTTTGTAGCCTAGGAGCAACAGACTGTACCATGTAGCCTAGGTGTGTAGCAGACTTCACCATCTGGTTTGTCTAAGTACATTCTATGATACTTGCACAATAAAATTCCCTAATGATTTATTTCTCAGAATGTATCTCCACTGTTAATTGATGCACGGATTGTAGTTTTTAGAATCTCTCTTCTGGGCCATTAGTAATATGTTTAGGGATTACCAATATGTATTTTTTATCTACGACCCATCTATCACTTCCTGTCTGTTAACTAAGAAATGATTGGAGTGGAAAGAAGGGAATTCGTACTTATACAGCACCTACTTTGTGCCAGGTACGATGTTCCATGTATTTTTTTAAATTTAATACTTACAGTATGTTATGATGTATGTGTTCTTCATTTTTTAGGCAAAAATGTCTCAGAAGTTAAGGAAATTGAACATGTCACTCCTTGAATATGAAGTGTTTTTTGAGACTTAAAGGGTTTTTTCTTTACCGTTTATGACCCATATCGCTGGATTCTATCTGGTGTCATAAGCTGTAATAGAAGACATGAGTTTCTGATTTAATCTTTAGATGCTGACCTATACGGCAGTTCACTGAAACTGGTCTCAGAGGAAGAGGGAGAATAATTTCTTGGCCAGTCCTTCTGTGATATGGAAGAATGCAGCTTGAGAAGACGGTCTCCGATTTCACCAATTGCAAAATCAATGATCTCTATGCAATCAGAGAGCACAAGAGAGGCCGGAGCACAGCTGAATTGCTTTGAATTCTCTTTAAGTCTCTCAACTCTGCAGGAGCCGCCTTCCACTAGGGATCCATCTTTTTGTTCCTGGTATCTTGTGACAGCCTCTTAAGTGGGCTTCCTACAGCTTTTACAACAATGTATGTGCCCCTTCCACACAATCGCCATATAGATTAAATGATATTCTATTTCTCAAACTCATATTCAGTCAGATTACACAACTACTTTTTCACCTTTTAGTGGCTTTTCACTGTGATTAAGTTGGAAGTTCAACAATCTTAAACTGTTCGTTAAGCCATTGCATTATCTGACCCCCTTGATCTGAGCATTAGAGTATAGTTTTCAAGAGAAATGTGAATGGGTTATGGATATTGCCAGATGGTTGTGCACATACACATGTGTAAAACATATTTTTATATCTAAATGTATCAAAATCTATAATCAAAATCTATAATACATTTCCATGTGGTTGTTTTTTGCTGCTGTTGTTTTAGAAATGGGGTCTTGGTCTGTCACCAAGACTGGAGTGCAGTGGCATAATCATAGCTCATTGCAGCCTGGAACTCCTGGGTTTAAGTTATCCTCCCACCTCAGCCTCCCAAGTAGCTGGGACTATACCTGTGTGTCACCATGTTCAGCTAATTATTGTGGGTTTTTTCTTTTTGGAGATATTGAGTCTTTTTATATTGTTCAGACTGGCCTATAACTCCTAGCCTAAAGTGATCCTCCTACCTCGGTCTCCTACAGGGCTGGGATTACAGGCTTCAGCCATTGCATCCAGCCTCCCATGAGCTTTCTCCTTACACAGAAGATAAAATAAGGAGCCTTCTCATAAGAAATCATTAGAAATCCCTTTAGAGATTTTGAGGAATCTTAAGTAATGCCTGAATGTCTCTCTCTTGTCTTTTAAAAAAAGTCTGAAGCTAGGATATTGCTTGTGTTAGCAAACCTCAGACTATTCCTTTGAAGCCATTTTTATAAGACTGTGTCTGACTAAAAATTATTCAATTATGAAACATAAAGAAGAACTATGGAGCATAAAACATAGCTTATTCTTATGAGAAAACTAGGTGTAAGAGGGGAGACAATTTCCAAGACCAGGCAAGGGTCAAAGCAGAGTTAGTCATCATGATTCCAATTCATTGCTTTCAACTACTCTAGTAACCACTTACTTTCTAGATTTCAGAAAACTGTTTTTTGTTTTTTTTTGTTTTTTTTTTGAGATGTAGTCTCATTCTGTCACCAGGCTGAAGTGCAGTGGTGCAATCTTTACTCACTGCAACCTCTGCCTCCTGGGTTCAAGCCATTCTCGTGGTGCCTCACCCTTCCAAGTAGCTGGGATTATAGGCATGCCCCACCACACCCAACTAATTTTTTTAGTAGAGATGGAATTTCACCATGTTGGCCAGGAGATGGTCTCGATCTCCTAACCCCGTGATCCACCGACCTCAGCCTCCCACAGTGCTGGGATTACAGGCATGTAAGAATAGTTCTTTCTTATCTTTGTTCTGTCAGCTTACTACATTGCATTTGAGGACAACAAAGCAGTTTGTATTCAAATAAACAATGTCTCTGTGCCAGGT